CCTCTGGACGGCGGCTCAGTGGAGGGGAGTCTGGAGAGAAGTGAAGGGGATCCTGCGGGCCCCCAGGTCCCCTCCTATGGTTCCCTCTGGATGGCGGCTCAGTGGAGGAAGTGGAGGGGATCCCGGGTGCCCCCCAATGGTTCCCTCTAGAGGGGAATCTGGAGAGAAGTGGAGGGGATCTCGTGGGCCCCCAGACTCCCCCCCCCCCCAATGGTTCCCTCTGGACAGCGGCTCAGCGGAGGGGAATCTGGAGATAAGTGGAGGTGATCCCTCAGGCCCCCAGACTCCCCCCCCAATGGTTCTTTCTGGATGGCGGCTCAGCGGAGGGGAATCTGGAGAGAAGTGGAGGGGATCCCTCAGGCCCCCAGACTCCCCCCCCCCCCATGGTTCTTTCTGGATGGCGGCTCAGCGGGGGAATCTGGAGAGAAGTGGAGGGGATCCCTTGGGCCCCCAGACTCCCCCCCCCCCCCAAAGGCTCCCTTTGGACAGCGGCTCAGCGGAGGGGAATCTGGAGAGAAGTGAAGGTGATCCCTCAGGCCCCCGGACTCCCCCCCCCAATGGTTCTTTCTGGATGGCGGCTCAACAAAGGGGAATCTGGAGAGAAGTGGAGGGGATCCCGCGGGCCCCCAGACTCCCCCCCCTCAATGGTTTCCCTCTGGGAAATTGTAGGACATTTTAACCATTTGTGCCCCTGAATCTTTTTTGACCCCAAACCCCTTTGAGTCCCAGAGAGCTTTTTTTGTTGTTGTTTTTTGCGTTTTGTTTTGTTCTGCTCATTATACCTCTTAGCATTTGTAGTTTACTGTAACATATTAACAAACAAACAAAAAAAATCAATCCACTTCAGAAACAATGTAACGTGGGTTGTAAGCTCACATTGAAGAAGTGATTCCACGACACCTTTTAATTAATCTGAAATACTGTTACATTGTGCAGCGCTGCCCCAAAAAATAGAAAAATATATATAATAACCTATTGCAAACTTCCAATATTATCAAATAAAATCAACAATTAACGTAAATCATGTGATCTTTAACCAGGAAGGTTTTACCACCCCCCCCCCCCCCCCTTCATGACCAGGGGCATTTTATGCTATGCAGCACAGCGCTACTTTAACTGCCAACTGCGCGGTCATGCAACACTGTACCCAAGTTAAATTTCTATAATTTTTTTTTAACAAATATTGATTTCTTTTGGTGGTATTTGGGGTTTTTTATTTTTTACAATAAGAGTGAAAAAAGACCGAAAATTTTGAAAACAATTTCTACTTTCTGTTTTATAAAGCATTTCCAATAAAATCAATTTTCTTCACAAATTTAGGCCAAAATGTATTCTGCTACAATAAGTGTCTATTAATTGGTTTGTGTGAAAGCTACAGAGTCTACAAATGATAGAATGAGGCGTCTCTAGGGTTGGTGTCACCCGGTGCGGTAACACTTGGTGACACCCTCTTCGACGATTGAGCATAATGGATCGCATATGCTCCCCAATCCGCAGATCCAATCCATCCTGCGGGGATCGTCGGCTTGCTTTACAACTTACCCTTCTCGTGGAGTGGGTCCGGTGTCACCCCGTGCGGTAGGTGTCACCCGGTGCAGAGCGCACCCCCCGCACCTGCCTAGGGATGCCACTGGATAGAATATATACTGGAATTTACGCACCTATGGATCAGCGACTTATAGTATGGCTGTGATAGTGTGGCGGGCCATCTGGCTGGAAGGGACACTAACTGAGTGACAGTGACGTCGCTAGTGACACTAATACAGTGATCAGATATGAGACTGTACATTGTACTAATGACACTGCCTGGGAAGGGGGTTAACATCGTGGGGCAATCGAGGGGTAGTCTGTGTGCCTAACAAGTGTAATGTGTGTTGCTTTTACTCGCAGATCTGACTGTTTTTCCTCCTTGCTTTTCAGGGAAAAGAAACAGCCAGATCGCTGTGTGTTAAGCTCTGTGTGTTTGTAAGCACAGGACTCTTTGTGGTGATTGGCCGCAGCCGACCAACAGGTATACAGCCAAAATCACTGGCTGAAACCTGCTGACACACTTGTGCCGTGTCCAATCAGCGCAACATTGTGAACCCGGCCTTAATGACAGGTCCACTTTATTATATCCCTGTAGTGAGATCTCCTTCCAGACCTGACTGCTAGATTGTGCATCTAGGGAACCCGCGGGGCCGCAGACTACCCCCCCCCCCAATGGTTCCCTCTGGACAGCGGCTCAGCAGAGGGGAATCTGGAGAGCAGTGAAGGGGTCCCATGGGCCTCCAGATCCCCTCCAATGGTTCCCTCTGGACGGCGCCTCAGCGGAGGGGAATCTGGAGATCAGTGGAGGGGTCCCACGGGCCCCCAGTTCCCCTCCAATGGTTTCCTCTGGATGGTGGCTCAACGGAGGGGAATCTGGAGAGAAGTGGAGGGGATCCTGAGGGCCCCCAGACTCCCCCCCCCCCATGGTTCCCTCTGGACGGCGCCTCAGCAGAGAGGAATCTGGAGGTCAGTGGAGGGGTCCCGCGGGCCCCCAGTTCCCCTCCAATGGTTCCCTCTGGACGGTGGCTCAGTGGAAGGCAATCTGGAGAGAAGTGAAGGGGATCCTGTGGGCCCCCAGACTCCCCTCTCCCCCATAGTTCCCTCTGGGCAGCGCCTCAGCAGAGGGGAATCTGGAGAGCAGTGGAGGGATCCCATGGGCCCCCAGATCCCCTCCAATGGTTCCCTCTGGATGGCGCCTCAGCGGAGGGGAATCTGGAGATCAGTGGAGGGGTCCCGCGGGCCCCCAGTTCCCCTCCAATGGTTCCCTCTGGACAGTGGCTCAGCGGAGGGGAATCTGGAGAGAAGTGGAGGGGATCCTGTGTGCCCCCAGACTCCCCCCCCCCCCTTTTCCCTTAAGACGGCGGCTCAAGTGAGGGGAATCTGGAGAGAAGTGGAGGGGATCCCGCGGGCCCCCAGACTCCCCCCCTCAATGGTTCCCTCTGGACGGCGGCTCAGCAGAGGGGAATCTGGAGAGAAGTGGAGGGGATCCCATGGGCCCCCAGACTCCTCCCACCCCCCCCCCCCTTGGTTCCCTCTGGACGGCGGCTCAGCGGAGGGGAATCTGGAGAGGTAATTGAAGTGGAGGGAAGTCGGCACTCGGGTATTCCGCTGTATTAATTATCTATTCCCGCTTCCAATAAACAACAGGAGTAATGAACGAGCTTCCCCCACAGGAGCCGCACGCTAATCAAATTACTTCCTGTCTTGTGTTATCGCCGCGACATTTACAGAACGGCCGCGAGAACGCAGGAAATTTTTCTGTCCAAGCAGCGCAGACGTGGAAATCGCCTTCCGGGATATTTATACATCGAACTTGGAAGGTGTGAACAACAGAGGAACCATGGATTCAAAATATCGCTTTCATCTGGGATGTCCATAGCGGCAAATCTTCTGCGTGGCGAAAGACGGACACTTTGGCTGGCCATACACTATACAATTTTCTGTCCAATTTCCTTTAGATTTACCTTCAACTATGTAGTGCAAGAGCTGGCCTAATTGGATAAAATTGAAAGTGTTGTTAGGTTTGGCCTACTATTGTATGGTTTTTGGTAAATCTAAACCAAAAATCGCAAGAAAATTGTATAATGTATGGCCAGTCTTAGACCATAGGGTTCAATATTGAGTTGGCCCCGCCCTTTCCACGCACATGACCTTTAATGGCCCCCCAGTCTTAGTCCGTAGGGTTCAATATTGAGTTGGCCCCGCCCTTTCCACACACATGACCTTTAATGGCCCCCCAGTCTTAGTCCATAGGGTTCAATATTGAGTTGGCCCCGCCCTTTCCACACACATGACCTTTAATGGACCCCCAGTCTTAGTCCGTAGGGTTGAATATTGGGTTGGCCCCGCCCTTTCCACACACATGACCTTTAATGGCCCCCCAGTCTTAGTCCGTAGGGTTCAATATTGAGTTGGCCCCGCCCTTTGCAGCTATAACAGCTTCAACTCTTCTGGGAAGGCCGTCCACAAGGTTTAGGAGGGTGTCTATGGGAAGGTTGGACCATTCTTCCAGAAGCACATTTGTCAGGTCAGGCACTGATGTCGGGGGAGGGGGCCTGGCTCGCAGTCTCCGCTCTAATTCATCCCAAAGGTGTTCTATGGGGTTGAGGTCAGGACTCTGTGCAGGACAGTCAAGTTCCTCCACCCCAAACTGGCTCCTCCATGTCTTTATGGACCTTGCTTTGTGCACTGGTGGGCAGTCATGTTGGAACAGGAAGGGGCCATCCCCAAACTCTTCCCACAAAGTTGGGAGCATGAAATTGTCCAAAATGTGGAACTAGGGGGCCAAGTCCAACCCCCGAGGAACAACCCCACACCATAATCCCCCCTCCACCAAACTTTACACTTGGCACAAAGCAGTCAGGCAAGTACCGTTCTCCTGGCCACCGCCAAAACCCAGACATGTCCATCAGATTGCCAGACAGAAGTGTGATTGGTCACTCCAGAGAACACGTCTCCTCTGCTCTAGAGTCCAGTGGCGGCGTGCTTTACACCACGGCATCCGACGCTTTGCATTGCACTTGGTGATGGAAGGCTTGGATGCAGCTGCTCGGCCATGGAAACCCATTCCATGGAGCTCTCTACGCACTGTTGTTGGGCTCATCTGAAGGCCACACCAAGTTTGGAGGTCTTTAGCTATTGACTCTGCAGACAGTTGGCGACTTCTGCGCACTGTGCGCTTCAGCATGCGCTGACCCCGCCCTGTCATGTGACGTGGCCCACCACTTGGTGGCTGAGTGGCTGTTGTTCCCAGTGGCTTCCACTTTGTTATAATCCCACTAACAGTTGAGCGTGGAATATTTAGTAGCCAGGAAATGTCACGGATGGACTTATTGCCCAGGTGGCCACCTATCACGGGACCACGCTTGGAGTCACTGAGCTCCTGAGAGCGACCCATTCTTTCACCAATGTTTGTAGAAGCCGTCTGCATGCCTAGGGGCTTGATTGTATCCACCTGTGTCCATGGAGGGGATTGGAGCACCTGAATCACATGATATGGAGGGGATTGGAACACCTGAATCACATGATATGGAGGGGACTGGAACACCTGAATCACATGATATGGAGGGGACTGGAACACCTGAATCACATGATTGGGAGGGGATTGGAACACCTGAATCACATGACATGGAGGGGATTGGAACACCTGAATCACATGATATGGAGGGGATTGGAGCACCTGAATCACATGATTAGGAGGGGATTGGAACACCTGAATCACATGACATGGAGGGGATTGGAACACCTGAATCACATGATATGGAGGGGATTGGAACACCTGAATCACATGATATGGAGGGGATTGGAACACCTGAATCACATGATATGGAGGGGATTGGAACACCTGAATCACATGATATGGGACAATACTTCAGGCAATATAATCTATGTGTAATGTATGCTGAGTTCAGGCACGCTCAGTAATGTGTCAGAATAATCCTCCCACATATTATTACTCGCAGAGATCGCAGGACGCCCCCTTTGGATTGGTTCGCACCAACGCATTTTTGTGGTGCTCTTTGCAGAAACGCACAGCAGTCCATTGACCTTGGCTTCCTATGGGACAGGTTCACATCTCTGTGGTTTTTGGAAAGGTTCAGGGACTTTTTAATCGCATTTTTGCTACATTTTGCTGTTCTTTTTTTTTAGTTTGCCCAGCAACAAAATAAATTCCACTCTAACAAAAAAAAGCTGAAAAAAAAAAACACGGCAAAAAAGCGGATAAAAAGCAAAAAGCACAGGTGTGCGCCAAGCCTTCATCTGCTTTTCTCCCCAGGAGGACGGCACCATCTTTGTGCATCATCCGGGGTCACCATCTGCTTCCTAGATGCCGACTCAGAGAGGACACAATCATGTCAGTCCTGGTGCCTGTGCAGTTCCTGGCTGTGTCCACAAATGTCTGATGCAGATCAGCCCCTGACTGCCGCCTCTCATCTTGTGACTTGCTGCAAAGTTAACAATGTACAGTCTGATCACTGGGGGAGGGAGGACTGAGGAAATGCTTCCTCCTCCTCCTACAAAGTTACAATGTACAGTCTGATCACTGGGGGAGGGGAGACTGAGGAAATGCTTCCTCCTCCTTCTACAAAGTTACAATGTACAGTCTGATCACTGGGGGAGGGGGGACTGAGGAAATGCCTCCCCCCCTTCTACAAAGTTACAATGTACAGTCTGATCACTGGGGGAGGGGAGACTGAGGAAATGACTCCTCCCCCTTCTACAAAGTTACAATGTACAGTCTGATCACTGGGGGAGGGGAGACTGAGGAAATGTCTCCTCCGCCTTCTACAAAGATACAATGTACAGTCTGATCACTGGGGGAGGGGAGACTGAGGAAATGCCTCCTCCGCCTTCTACAAAGATACAATGTACAGTCTGATCACTGGGGGAGGGGAGACTGAGGAAATGCCACCTCCTCCTTCTACAAAGTTACAATGTACAGTCTAATCACTGGGGGAGGGGAGACTGAGGAAATGCCACCTCCTCCTTCTACAAAGTTACAATGTACAGTCTGATCACTGGGGGAGGGGAGACTGAGGAAATGCCACCTCCTCCTTCTACAAAGTTACAATGTACAGTCTGATCACTGATTGTTGTAATGGAATCTCATGTGAATCTCGGGTGACACTTTCGCTCCCCTCAGATATCGGAGACGTCGTCTCGTGAACATTGCGCAGCGAATGACACGCCGCGTTCCCCGGGAGCCGCTGCTTTGTATGGGTTGTCTGGTTGCGGGGAATCTGGTTTGTTGTGTTAGTGATGGAGAGATAATCGTTCTCCGGCTTTGAGTCCATTAGTGTCTTTGCGCTGCGATTCGCCCACGTCTCCCTCCCGCCGCCCCCCCTCCATTGTCCTCCTGTTCCCAGAAAGGTGTTTCAGCGCCGGGAAAACTCTTCTAGGCAACCTGAGAAGAGAAGAAAATCTTCCCAGACATCTGCTGTGGCCCTCGGGATCTCTGTGGGGGGCGGGGACTAGATGTCCTGTACACCGCCCCTCCACATGGGGGCGACACATCCGTGACTCCGAGAAGGGAGCTGGGATCCAATCAGTGAGATCTATTCCTATAAAACAAGTATATGTGGCTGTGCCTCCCAATCAGAATACTCCCAACAAGTACAGACCACCGATAGCCCCGCCCAGGGGCGGACTGACAACTCATGGGGCCCCCGGGCAATAGGGGATCATGGGGCCCCTGTGTCCTTGCCCAAATTTTAAAAAGCCTATGAAAAAGGTACCAGGGGCATCTCATGGGGCCCCCTACTGACCCCGGGCCCTCAGGCAGTGCCCGAGTTTCCAAATGGTCAGTCCACCCCTGGTCCCACCCAAACCAAGCCTCGCAGTCCGCCACCCATCTCCACTCTTACTGACCTACACCCATTGATACCCACATGAGATGTGTACTATGTACGATCGTTCATTCAGGATAACCGAACGATCGGGTCATTCTGCGTCTGCGTTGCCATTGTTCCCTACAAATGACTTTTTCTGGACCAGGAGGAGATGTAAATATAAACATGTGTAGGAAGCGGCAGCAAGAATGACCTCATGCAGAATGACTAAAGGCTGAGGACATCCTGTGCCTGTGCGGCTGCCTACGAATGGCTCATTCAGGACCAGGAGAGGATGTAAATGTAAACATGTGTAGGAAGCGGCATGCATGCTCAGACACAGGATGACTTTGACATCCAATCATGCAGGATGACTGGGGTCATTCTGTGCCTGTGCGGCTGCTGCTGCCTACGAATGACTCATTCAGGACCAGGAGGAGATGTAAATAAAAACGTGTAGGAAGCGGCGGCAAGAAATACCTCATGCAGAACGACTAAAGGCTGAGGTCATCTTGTGCCTGTGCGGCTGCCTACGAATGCCTCATTCAGGACCAGGAGAGGATGTAAATGTAAACATGTGTAGGAAGCGGCGGCAAGAATGACCTCATGCAGAACGACTAAAGGCTGGGGTCATCCTGTGCCACTGCCGCTGCCTACGAGTGACTCATTTAGGACCGGGAGAGAATGTAAATGTAAACATGTGTAGGAAGCGGCGTGCATGCTCAGACACAGAATGACCTTGACATCCAATCATGCAGAACAACTGGGGTCATTCTGTGCCTGTGCGGCTGCCGCTTCCTACGAGTGACTCATTCAGGACCAGGAGAGAATGTAAATGTAAACATGTGTTGGAAGCGGCGTGCATGCTCAGACACAGGATGACCTTGACATCCAATCATGCAGAACAACTGGGGTCATTCTGTGCCTGTGCGGCTGCCGCTTCCTACGAGTGACTCATTCAGGACCAGGAGAGGATGTAAATGTAAACATGTAAGAAGCAGCGGCACAGAAGCAGAATGACCCCCGTCATTCTTTATAATTGAATATCAAAGTCATCCTGTGTCTGAGCATGCACGCCGCTTCCTACACATGTTTACATTTACATCTCCTCCTGGTCCTGAATGAGTCCTTCGTAGGACAGCAGCGGCGGCGGCACAGGCACAGAATGGCCCCAGCCATTAGTCGTTCTGCATGACTGGATGTCATTCTGGATGTAATTCTGTGCCTGCACCCGTGTTGCCGCTTCCTACATGTTTACCTTTACATTTCCTTCTGAATGAGTCACTCATAAGTGGCAGCGGCGGCACAGGCGCAGAATGACCTCAGCCTTTAGCCGCTCTGCATGACTGAAATGCAAGATCATTCTGCACCTCTGCCGTTGCCCCTTCCTACACATCATTTACATTTACATCTCCTCCTGGTCCTGACTGAGTCATTCAGAAGACTTCAGCATTTAGTCATTCTGCAGGAAGCTGCTGCTTTCTACACATGTTTATATTTATGTCTCCTCCTGGGCCTGAATGAGTCATTCGTAGCAGCGGCAGCGGCACAGAATGACCCCAGCCTTTAGTTGTTTTGTATGATTGAATGTCAAGGTCATCCTGTGTCTTAGCATGCATCGCTGCTTCCTACGCATGTTTACATTTACATTTCTTGAATGAGTCATTGGTAAGTGGCAGCGGCGGCACAAGTGCAGAATCACCCCAGTCATTAGTCATTCTGTATGATTGGATGTCAAGGTCATTCTATACCTGCACCAGCGTCGTCGCTTCCTACACATTTACATCTCCTCCTGGTCCTGAATGAGTCATTAGTAGGCATTAGCAGCCACACAGGCACAGGAAGACCCCAGCCATTAGTCGTTCTGCATGTTTGGATGTCAAGGTCATTCTGCACCTCCGCCGTTGCCCCTTCCTACACATCATTTACATTTACATCTCCTCCTGGTCCTGAACGAGTCATTCAGAGGCAGTAGTGGTGGCACAGGCGCAGAACGGCTTCAGCTTGTAGTCATTCTGCATGATTGAATGTCAAGGTCATTTTGCTTCTGTGCCGCCGCTTCCTACACATGTTTATATTTACATCTCCTCCTGGTCCTGAATGAGTCATTCGTAGGCAGCAGCAGCGGCACAGGCGCAGGATGACACCAGCCTTTAGTTGTTTTGTATGATTGAATGTCAAGGTCATCATGTGTCTGAGCATGCATCGCTGCTTCCTACGTATGTTTACATTTACATTTCTTGAATGAGTCATTGGTAAGTGGCAGCAGCGGCACAAGTGCAGAATGACCCCAGTCATTAGTCATTCTGTATGATTGGATTTTAAGGTCACTCTGCGCCGGCGCTTCCTACACGTTTATATTTACATCTCCTTCTGATCCTGAATGAGTCATTCATAGGCAGCAACAGCAGCGACACAGGATGACCCCAGCCATTAGTCGTTCTGCATGATTGGATGTCAAGGTCATCCTATGCCTGCACCAGCGTCGCCACTTCCTACACATTTACATCTCCTCCTGGTCCTGAATGAGTCCTTCGTAGGCATCAGCAGCCACACAGTCACAGGAAGACCCCAGCCATTAGTCGTTCTGCATGATTAGATGTCAAGATCATTCTGCGCCACCGCCGTTGCCCCTTTCTACACATCATATACATTTACATCTCCTCCTGGTCCTGAACGAGTCATTCAGAGGCAGTAGTGTGGTGGCACAGGCGCAGAACGGCTTCAGCTTTTAGTCATTCTGAATGGTTGAATGTCAAGGTCATTCTGCTTCTGTGCCGCCGCTTCCTACACATGTTTATATTTACATCTCCTCCTGGTTCAGAAAGGTCATTCTGCATCTCCACCTGCGCCGCCGCTTCCTACACATGTTTACGTTTTCATCCTCTCCTGGTCCTGAATGAGTCATTCGTAGGCGGCAGCAGCGGCACAGGCGCAGAATGACCTTGACCTTGGCCTAGTCCTTTTGCATGATTGAATGTCAAGG